CTGTGTACCAAAGCAGAGGAGGAAATGTGTCAGTTCATGGATTTTTTGGGTTGGATGGAAGGGACCTCTCAAGGTGATCTGGAGCAGCCTCTCTGCTCTAACAGGAGGTTTGAGCTGCTTGTCCAGGACCACATCCAGTTTGGTTTTGAGTATCTCCATGGATGGAGACTCCTAAACTTCTCTTAGCAACCTTGTTCCAGTGTTTGACTTCCCTCACATAATAAAAGGTTTCTTGGTTCTGATAGAATTTCCTGTTTCTTAATGTGTCCATTGCCTCTTGTCCTACCAGAACCATCATGCTGGAATAAGGTAGCTCTGGAAATAGCACCCTAACTGGAACTAGAATCACAGAATCATTAATGTTGGAGAAAAACTCTAAGATCATTGAGTCCAATGTTAATTACTGTCTGCCTTACCCCCTCCTACCCTCTCCTGAACAATGAGGCTTAACAAGGAGGGTGACTGCATGGACTGGGATCTCATCCTGTCACTGAGGGATGCACCCTGAGCTTGACCCTTCCTCCTCCCTCCCTGTACCACCAGCCAGGTTTGATGGGGATTCTCTTTGCTCCTGCAGGAAGAGTTGGCACACGGATCGTGGGATCAATGCAAGGTGGAGACACGGAGGAGGATGTGAGTAACCATCTCATGTGTCTGCAGAGCTTCTCTGACAGGGCTTTAGATGCCAGCCCTCTCCACAGCTGGAGAGACACCTTTTTACCTGCTGAATCCTCACACCCCAGGCTGCTCTTCCCCTCCTTTCCAGTGGCTGACTACTTTCCTCAGCACAAATGTGTATCTCCTTATTTTCCTTTGTTCTTGGAGTCTTCGTGCTCCATGGGCTTTCACCCCATCCTGCAGTGCAGAACTAGTGGCACACAGGCTGCAGGAATGCTCCTGTGAGCTGTGGGGCAGATTTCTGGGAAGAGGGACCAGTGCAGTGCAGCTGGAGTTGAGTACATGGACCCAAATCCCCCTCCTTGCTCTAAAAAGTTACTCCTTGGAGCCCTGTCCATGGCCTGTACTGGCAGCATCAGTGCTCTGGAGGATGGGGCAGGGATGAGAGCAGGACTGTGAGCTGTGCCCTTGGGATTCCTGCTGCCCCAGGGCTCCTGGCCTTGCCCTTGGTCGTGGTTTTCATGTGAGTAGGCAGTGTAAAAGGCACACACAGCTTCGCACAGGAGGCATTTGCTCTGTGTCTGTGCCCAGCCTTTGGCATCCATGGGCAGCCTTTCCGTGCCTCTGGGCACACCTGAGTGGCCACAACTGCACCAGGAAGCTGAAGCCAGCTGCTGGGATGTGGTTGGCATTTGCAGTTAGCTCTCCCCATCATCCCAAAAAGCTGCTGCCATGCCAGGAGCAGTGGGGCTGTTCTCTCCAGATGATGTTTTGGAGAGGGCTAGGAACTAGTACAGCTGTGGTGACTGTGGGTTTGTGTTTGAACCTGTGCTGCTGTTAATTCCCAGTGTGGGTGGAACCTTTCTGTCTCAATCCAGCAGGCACCCCTCAAGGAGGGGAGTTCAGACATTTCTGGGAATCCCAGAACAGTTTGAGGTGGAAGGGACCTTAAACCCATCTTGTTCTACCCAGAGACCCATTCTACTAAACCAGGATGCTCCAAGCCCCATCCAGCCTGACTTAAAACAATTCCAGGGATGGGGCAGCCACAGCTTTTGGGTCTTGGAGAGGAACTTGCAGCCCATGCTCTGCTCTTTGCTCCTGCCCTAATGGGTTGTTGCCTCCTGGACATCCAGACCCATTTCTGGGAAGGGCAGAGTGTTGTGCTGTGAGTGAAGATGTTGCCACTTTAGTCCCAGTGCTGCCTGATTCTCCTTGGCCACGTTAGTGACAGATTTGGATGGTCACCCTCTGATTTCTGTTCCCTTTAGACTTCCCTGCTGGCAGCTCTCTCCGTGCTGGCACAGCCCCAGCACAGCCAGGGATGGAAAGCCAAGGCCTTCAGCCTGTGACTTCCCTCAGCTGCAGCCACTGCAGTTGTCTCATGGCTCTGCCCTGTGACTGCAGCTTCTCAGAGCTCAGGGATCTTCACAGGCCTCTGCTGGTGTGTCCCAGCCCAGGGAATGAAGCCAGTGAGGCTGCTTTGAGCCCCTCCAGGAGCTCATGGAGTTAGGAAGAGCCAGCAGTGTGTGTCCAGCCTCTGTCACCTGCTGGTGTGGCACAGGATACCTGAGCTGTGCCTGCCTTTGCTGCCTTCTCCCCTGCTCCAGCCTGGGTATTTTCTGTTCTCTTTTATGTTCTTGTACTTTTTTTTCCTGCTCTGCCTCTCGTGTTCCTCCACTCTGGCTCTCCAAGGGGACCCCAGCCCCGGCACGGCCAGGCCGGCACAAGGCTCAGGTGCGTTCCTCTCCTGGGCTTCATTCTTTTCCACTTCCCCTCCATTCTGTGGGCTCACAGTAGCTGTCACCTGAGTGTTAAAACACCCTGACAGGCTTTTAATAGCCCAGAGCCAGCAGAAGTCAGGGAATTTGTGTTCATCAGCCCCGTGGGTGGGGAAGGAGGTTTGCAATCCATTGGGAGTGCAGGGGAAGCCAGCGCTGCCATCCCTCACGTTGGGCTGGCAGAGAGGCCTGGCAGGGCAGAGCTGAGCTGGTCATGGACTCCTGTTCCCTGTCCTGCAGGATGACTCAGGGGATAGTGAGATTGACCTGGATGAAGATGAAGACGAGGAGGAGGAGGATGATCTGGAAGATGACAGCATGGAAATCTCCCCAGGCAAATCCAGTCTCCGAGCCAGGAAGCCAGAGCCACTGGAGCAAAGTGATAATGACTTCTGACCCTTCAGGAGCAGGAGGCCTCTTGAAGCACAAACTTTGGAGAGGCCAGGAGCTAATACCCTGCTGTCTGAAAAGTGTGTGTCAGTGTGCATTCAGGAGTTGGTAAATAATGTTCATTAAACCTGAAAATTAAACTTGGATTGCCAGGTTTGTGAATCTCAAAGCATGAGCAGTTTATCCATAATGAGAATCACAGTAATGTGCACTTATTTCCATAATTGCACTAAACTGGCTCTTGTGCACTGCAGTGTCAGAAGCCTCACTCCAGTGAGCATCATGTGCTTGATTTCCCTGCATTTTATTATGTCCAAATAGATTTCTTTGGCTTAATAAAACTGGATGAAAAGCTGCTCTGGGAATGCATCTCAATTGGTTTTAAATCTGGCTTAAATCTATTTATCCTAAACATATCCTTTACTTAATCAAGGGCTTGTCTGCACAAAGAGCAGCACCAGGGAGACTGAAGGAGTGGAGTTAAAACTGGAGAAGTCTCCAGGGAGACCTTCCAGGACCTAAAGGGGCTCCAGGAGAGCTGGAGAGGGACCTGGGACAAGGGATGGAGGGACAGGACACAGGGAACTGCCAGAGGACGGGGCTGGATGGGACATTGGGAAGGAATTGTTCCCTGGCAGGGTGGGCAGGCCCTGGCACAGGGTGCCCAGAGCAGCTGTGGATGTCCCTGGATCCTTGGCAGTGCCCAGGCTGGACAGGGCTTGCAGGAATAGTGGAAGGTGTCCCTGCCATGGCAGGGGTGGGAATGGATGGGCTTTGAGATTCCTTCCAACCCAAACCATTCTGTGATGATCTGACCCCCAGACCAGGGCTGCAGTTGAGTCACAGTTTTCTGTTTCCTGTACTGTAGGCTCAGATGGAAAAGTGACTCCACAGCTGGTGTGCACAGAGCCAGAGCCTCTCTCTCCAGGCAGCAGTGCCACCTAGCCTCCAGCACAGCCTGCAGGCATGTGGCAGAGCCACTGCTGCTGTTGCAGCTGCTCGTGCCAGGCAGCAGCAGCAGCCCCTGTGGCAGTGAACTGAGCTTTCAGCCCAGGGCAGTGCAGCACAGCCCGTCCCAAATGTCCTGCAGTGCAAGAGCAAGGCTGCAAGAGGCATCTTCTCATCCGAGAACTAATTTATTCCCAAGCATTTACATCTCCAGAGCTCAGCCCAGTGTTTCTGGGATCAGCCCCCAGCCACTGGCTGCCCTGAGTGTGGCAGCGTGTCCTGGCTGGGCTGGGGACAGGGGACAGTGGCTCCAGGGGTCTCTGAGGGTTCACAGTTTGGCTGCTGGGTCACTTGCAAACCTGGCACCTCTGGGGAGTCACTGGGTCCCTGCCACACAGACAAAGGCACCACCTTTGCTCTCCTAATCAAAAGGTGACCTGCTGGGGACAGACCCTGCAGCTGGGACATCAGGAGGACATATTCCAAGGTCACAGAACACCGGTGACAGCAGCAGGAGATCCAAGAGCTCCAGCCTGAAGCTGAGGCAGAAGTTTGAGCTGAGGCAGTCCTGGTGTAGCACCAAGATGAACTGGAGACATCCCACCGTCAGGCAGTGCAGTTCCTCTTACATTCCCCTTTTTACTCCTCCATTTTCCTGAGGACTCTTTATTTTCCAAGGTCTTTCTAGATGGTTCCACTCCTATGCCTTGTGTTACCTCTCTCTTGTTAGAGAGCAGCTCTGCCAAACACTCTAGGTGTGTCTAGCCAGCACCAGCCTGTTACTGAGGGCACAGCACCAGCCAGGACCTGCTAGAAGTGCCCAGGTTCACAGCATCACTCCCATCTGAGCAAGGCAGCAGCAAATCTCTTGTGTCCATCTGGGATTTCAGGGGAGGCTGCTGGACTGGGCTGTTTTTAGCCAGGGGTGACAAAGCACAGGAGGAGATGCTGCCACCAGCAGATAAATCCCCCACAAAAACAAGGTCTGGCTGTGGCATCTGCCTCTCCTCAGTCCTTTTTGGATTTCCCCCATTCCCTGAAGCTCCCCCAGGGGCTGGATGAACACAGACATGGGCACACACATCCCTCAGCTTTCAATGTGAGTCTTGACCCTCCTGCGCTCCTGATCCGACACCCTCGGTCCTCCTGGGCCGTGCCAGGAGCTCAGGAGCTTTCCTTGCCCCAGTTCTCATCCCTGAGGTGGCACCAAGGATCTCCCTGCAGTCACCCAGGCCATGGGGACCCCGGGTCCCCTCGCTGTGGCCAGGGCTCCTCACACGTCCACGACGCAGTCGGGCGCGTTGCTCCGGATGGCGTCCGAGATCATCCTGGCTCCCGACTGCCCGATGCGGTTCCCCTGCAGGCTGGGGGGGAGAGAGCCCAGGCTGGGGCACGAGGCAGAGCAGGACCTTGCTGGGGACAGGAGATGCTGCCCAGCTTTGCAGCAGCATCCCGCAGCACCTGTGCCTGCCCCTCTCCGTGCAGGACCCTGCTCAAGGGCACTCTGGTTTGAGAGCCCTGAGGCAGCCAAGGAAGAGCTGGAGACAGCCCTGGACAGCTGCGGGGGCTGAGCCACCTCTCCCCTGGTTTTGGAGAGTATTTGTCTTTTGAGGTGGTTGTGTGGCCCAGAGGCATCCCTGGAGGGGAGCTGAGGGGTCTGGAGCTGTGTGGGGTGGTGGCTGTCATGTGGAAGGAGCACGGATGGCCCTGCCCTGTGGGGCAGCCAGAGTGGCAGTGTGCTGGCAGTCGGAAGGTCCCTGGATGGTTCCCATGGTCTCCCCCATCCCTGCCTTTCCCACCCACTGCAGCAGCCACTCACTTGACATAGGCGAGGCCGTGGTTGCCCTTCAGGGCCGTGGCGATGCAGATGGCTCCGTCCATGCCCAGGGAGTTTTCCTGCAGGCTGCGGGAGGCAGGAGGGTCAGACAGCAGCGGCACGCGTGGCCACCAGGAGGGAGTGCGTGCACTGTGCCACCAGCTCGGGGTCTGCCCTTCCGAGAGCCCTGGCTTGGCCGTCCCCCCGCTGTTCCCGAAGGGAATGTCTGCCCAGGCTGTTCCTGGGGTGCGGTACTCACTTGAGCCAGCGGAGGCTGCGGTTGACCTTGAGCGCGTTGGCCACGGCCTTGGCCCCCGCCGGGCCCAGGGAGTTTCCCCGCAGGCTGCAAACAAGGGAGCAGTGAGGAAGGACAAACGGGAGGAGGGGGAGAAGTGACCGCACCCAGAGAGGCCGGGGACAGCTCTGGGAGATCGCCATGCAAGGGCAGGAGCAGTGCTGGGCCAAGGGCCAGGCTCTCAGACGCCCCAGGGACAGTGGCACAGCCGTGGGCCCTTGGTGGCCCCATGGAGCACTTACTCCAGGATCTGCAGGCTCTTGTTGACCATCAAGGCTCCTGCCAGGGCTTGGGCACCGGCTGCACCAACTGAAGCCACTTGCAGGCTGCAAGGGAACGGGGACCCTTCAGCACTAGTCCTGAGGTGGCCACGGGGTGTTAATTAGGGTAATTGGGCTGTGACACCAGGGCCCTGCTGCAGCCTGGATACTCACTGGAGATCTGCCAGGGTGGTGTTGACCTTCAGTGCAGCGGAGAGCGCGGCCATTCCCTCGTCTCCGATGGCGTTCTCCTGCAGGCTGTGACAGAAGGGCTGTGTGTGCCCGTGGCCTGGCAACCAGGGCAGGGACAGGGCCAGCACAGGGCTCAGCATTCCCAAATGGCTTGGGAGAGCTCCTGGGCCACAAGGCATTTAGAGCATCCCCACCCAGGGACACACAGTGGGGACACAGCAGATTTGCAGGGCCTAAAGGGACTCCAGGAGAGCTCCAGGAGAGGGACTTAGGACAAGGGTTTGCAGAGATGTGGCTGAATGAATATTGTCCCAAAGCGAAAAAGATAAACACAGAGAGAAGTTCCTCAAAGCTGGAAGAGAGACCAAAGCTGCTTTCAGCATCTCAGAGCACTTGTGGAAACCACCAGGCACAAGGGTTTGCAGCACAGGAAACAGGGAATGGCTTCCCACTGCAAGAGGACAGGGATGGATGGGATATTGGGAAGAATGAGGTGGGGAGGCCCTGGCACAGGCTGCCCAGAGAAGCTGTGGCTGTCCCTGGATCCCTGGCAGTGTCCAAGGCCAGGGTAGACAGAGCTTGGAGCAGCCTGGGACAGTGGAAGGTGTCCCAGCCCATGGCAGGGGGTGGGATGGGCTTTAAGGGCCCTACCAGGAGGGCCCAGGACCCATCCACCTGTGTCCCCACTTACTCGAGGCTGGCCAGGCTGCTGTTGGACTGCAGTGCTTGTGCCAGGGCCGTGGCTGCTCTGGCCTGGATGAAGTTCCACTGCAAGCTGCAAACAGCAGAAAATGAGAGGTGGAGCCTTGGGCTGTGAGCATGCCCCAATCCAGCCAGCTCCACACCCATCCACACCCATCCAGGGATGTGCAAGACCCCGTGGGTGCATCCAGGATGTCACAGCACACCTCCCTTGGCGGGTGGCCCGGGGTGCCACTGTCCCAGCCCAGGAGCAGTGTCCCTGCCCATGCCCAAGCAAGGGCCTCCAAGGCAGGCAGGCCCAGGGACACTCACTGCAGGGACCTGAGTGCCCGGTTCTCTGCCATGGCCAAGGCGATGGCCTTGCCCCCGTCGTCGTGCAGCAGGTTGGCCGCCAGGCTGCAGGGACAGAGGACTCGAGTCACATGGGAAAGGCTGAGGACAGCTCCAGGGGCAGCACAGGGTGGTCTGGGTGCCCTCCTGGGGCCCATGGGACTTACTCCAGCTTCCTGAGGGTGCTGTTGCTGCGCAGGGCACGGGCGATGGCAGGGCCCCCTTCCTTGCTGATGGAGTTCTCCCGGAGGCTGGGGAAAGACACGGGGCTGGGGAGAGCAGCCAAGGCAGGGCTGGGTCAGCTGCTCCCCCAGCCCCCTTCCCCTCCTGCTCTGGGGCTGGGCCTGAGTAGAGCAGTTTGTGTGAGACCACCCCCATCAGCTCCTGCAGCTCCATTCCCTGTGTTTCCTGTGGGCCCAACAGGGCTTTTTGCCAGCCTCCCATCCCTGCTGCCATCCTGTCATTCCAAGATGTGGCTGAATGAATATTATCCCAAAGGGAAAAAGATAAACACAGAGAGAAGTTCCTCACAGCTGGAGGAGGGATCAAAGCTGCTTTCAGCATCTCACAGCTGGAAACAACAGGCACAAGCCCAGGCTGCAGAAAAGCTCCCAGATCCCAGCACAGCTTTTGGCCAGGGTGGCTGCAGGGACTGTCACTCACTTGAGGCTGAGGAGTCCCTTGTTGGAGCAGAGAGCTGCTGTCAGCGCCGTGACCCCTGCGCTGCTGATGGAGTTGCTCTGGAGACTGAGACAAACGGGGAAGACGTGAGGATGGGCCAGTGCTGGCATCACAGCTGGGCTGCAGGGTCATGTCTGGGTGGAAAGTGCCCATTTCACCGAGAAAAGGGCATCTCCCAGCCACGGGGAATGGGGAGCCAAGGCAGAAGGACCAGCCCTGGGAGCATCCAGGGTGGGATCAGCCATTCCTGCTGACCACAGCAGCACCAGCCCCAGCAAGCAGAGGGAACAGGGTCTGCCAGCACTTTGGGGCAGCCTTGTCCCCATCTGTCTGTCACCATGGCTGCTGGCTCAGCTGGGCATGTGGCTCCCATGGGTCTGGGATCCTTGTCACAGGGATAGAACCAGGGCATAGCCACTCATCAGCAGGAGCCATCAGCCATCCTCTCCAGGGCTGTTCCATGGGGAGTGAAGGTGGCACCATTCCAGCCTGACTCTGCCAGGCCCCATCCCATTATCTCCCTCTGCAGCCAATTCCCATCACTTTTGGGAGAGAGAACACCCAAAGCTAATGATTTCCTCCAAGCCAGAATAAAAAGTCATCACTGGGTTTTAGGATTAATTCTGTCAGTGTCCCTTGTCAGCCCAGCCTGGCTGCTGCTGGAGCTGCCACATTGTGTTCCAGCCTGCACACCCCGGGAATGTGGAGTGGGACAGACATGGGGAGGGGCTGAGGGCTTGAGGGGTGGCAGATTTTGCTGCAAGGAGGAGGCTGGGCTCTGTTGGACTCCAGGCATGGAGGGGAAACTTACTCAAGGCTTTGCAGGCTGTGGTTCACCCTCAGAGCTTCAGCCAGGGCAATGGAGCCGTTGTCTCCCACGGAGTTGCTTGAGAGTCTGAGACAGAAGAGGAAGCTTGGAACTGCCAGCAAGGGATTCTCCTCCCCCAGGCCCTTCCTGCTGCAGCCACGAGCACGAACTCGCTGCCACCTCATTCCCACCCACGTACACCTCTGTTCTCATGGCTGCTTTGAGCTGGAATAGCTTTTAATGTTTCCTCAGGGCCTGGAGCCCTGCCGCTTCCCTCTGCCAGAGGGGAGAGAGCTTCTCCTTTCTTCATGTGGCTCCCTGCATCCCTGGAGGCGCAGAGAGCATCCCCACGGGGCTGCTCGAGGGCCCTGCTCTCCGTGTGCACCAAGCGCTCTGGGCAGAGCCAGCAGGGTCCCTCTGCCGGCACACGGGCCTGCCCCTTCCCTGCCGCTCCTGCCCACAGATCCCAGGAGATGTGGCGCTGGCACTGCCACCCCTCCACCTCGTGGCGTGCTCACATCAGCTCTCTCAGGCTGCAGTTCTGCTTCAGCGCCTCCGCGATTTTCCGGGCGCCCTGGGCTCCGATGGCATTCTTCTGCAGGCTGCAAAAGTCAGGAAGGCACCTGGAATGGCAGTGCCACGTCACCATCGGTGGCACCCACCCTGCTGGGGGGCCGGAGGGGGGGACACCACGTCTGGGTCACTCACTGCAGGGTCTCCAGCCTGTGGTTGGTCAGCAGGGCCTCGGCCAGGAAGGCTGCCCCGTCCTCCTTGATGGAGTTGTGCTGGAGGCTGTGGGACACAGGAGGGAAGCCAGGCATGGATGGTCCCACAGCAAGGCCAGGGGCTGTGCAGGGCTGCAGGGCAGTGGCCACCTGCCCTGGGCCACTTGCCCTTGTCCCTGCCTTGAGAAAGGTGTCTGGCCCCCAAGCATCCCTGAGCAGGAGTCTCCTTCCCTCCTCTCCCATGGGATATTCCTTCTTCCACCCAACAGCACCTGGGAGCTCCCATGCACAGAAAGCACCTCGACCTGGACCACAGCCCCAGCCTCTCCCTTCACTGCCCCAAAAGGCAGGAAAATCCCGAATTCCTGGTCCAGGGCTGCCCCAGTCCCTGGGTCTGTGCCAGTTCCAGTCATGTATTCCCAGGCTGTCCCCATGCACTGCCCCTTGGAGCTTGGGAAAACCCCAGTGGGACAGAAGAGGGCTGGAAGGGGGCCTGCCCTGGGGATCTGCTCAGGAGATGCTCCAGAGGCTGATACTTACTTCAGGGAGAGCAGGATTTGGTTTTTTTTCAGGGCATCAGCCAGGGCCTTGGCTCCGGTGGGGCCGATGGAGTTGCTCCGCAGGCTGGGGCGGGACAGGCAGGAAAGCCAAGGTTAGCAAAGCCAGACTGGCACAGGCCCAGTTCAAGCCAGATGCCTCACATGGCACTGCTGAGGTGGGACTTCAGGCCAGCAGCTCGTGGTGGTGGCTTTAGGGGCTGGAGACCCTCCCCAGCCAGGTGAGGCTGGGTGGGATCCAGCCCCGCCGTGGACAGGGAATGGTTCCCAGTGGGAATGTGAGCACCACAGGAGCTGGGCAAGGGGGACACACACAAACACTTACTCCAGCACCATCAGGCTCCTGTTCACCAGCAGCGACCTGGCCAGAGCTCTGGCTCCCTTGTTGCTGATCTGGTTTTCTGCCAAGCTGCCCAGAAAAAGGAAAATTGGGTATTTTTCCAGAGGAGAAAGAGACTGGCACAGACCCTGGCATGTCCCAGGACACAGCTGGGATGGGTGAGCAGAGAAGAGTCATGGGGAGCATTTGGTTCATGATACAACCAAAGTGATGGATGTTCTCCTGGGGTGGACACCAGGGAGGGACTGCAAGGACACCGTTGCTTGACATAGAATTCATTTGTGTCCCATAAAGGAGCTCAGATGGCAGCATGGGGAACTCTGTGCAGGAGGAAGAGGAGGAGTGGGGAAAGTGGGAACCCATCTGTCTGGGATGAGGCACCTCCCTGCACAGGGGTCAGGAGCCTGTCCCCTCCCTGCAGCAGGTGCTCCCTGCAGAGCCTCGAGTGTCCAGCGATCTGCTGTGACCTTGGGAAGTGGTTTGTTAGGATAACCCATGGATTTACTGACATTTTTCAGGAACAGTGAGGAGGCAGCAGTTCCAGGAAGACTGGGCAAGACAACCTTGGGGTAAGGTCACTGTGCTCGGGTGCAGGGGATCGTGTGGGACTGTCCTTGTCATTAGGCACCCTGGGGAGCCAGTGGGAGACACATTCCTGGGGGATCCTCACCCTGGTTTTGCGGCGCCCCCAGCTCCACGTTGCATCCCCAGGACATCCCATCCACCCTGGGCCAGGTCCTACCTGAGCCTCTGGATCTGGCAGTCCTTCCCACTCAGCACACTGCCCAGCAGCTCCATCACATCGTCCTTAAACTGGTTATTGTCCAGCCTGCAGGAGACGCAAGGAAGGAGCAAGGGCAAGGGTTTGGAGAACAAAGTGGAGAAAGGAAGATCCTCCCATAACATCTGCCTGTTCCAGGTGGAGAAGCTCAAGGACAGAAGTGGAGGTGACCCAGTGCCACCCCCAGGGCAGCTCTCTGCAGGTGGACAACATCTGGTGAACCCATGTCTCCATTGAGACCTGGGATTGTGAGTCACAGGGGAGAGAGAACTCATTGCAGCCTCCCATACTTAGAGGGGACTTACAACAGGGAACAGGTTTAAACTAAAAGAGGAGAGATGTAGAATAGAATTCAGGATTAAATTCTTCCCTGTGAGGGTGAGGAGGCCCTGGCACAGGGTGCCCAGAGCAGCTGTGGCTGTCCCTGGATCCCTGGCAGTGTCCAAGGCCAGGCTGGATGGGGCTTGGAGCAGCCTGGGATGGTGGAAGGTGGCCCTGCCCATGGCAGGGGGTGGGACTGATGGGCTGTAAATTCCCTTCCAACCCAAACCAATCTGTGATTCCAAAGTCACAGCCTGGCACCTCTCCTCACTCCTCCCAGTGCAACCCCACCAGGACTCACCTGAGGTTGTGGCAGAAGAGGAGCTGGGAGAGCAGGCTCTTACTGACATTGTAGGTGAGGCAGTTGGAGAGGTTTGTCTCCTCCAGGCAGACGTCAGAGACCTGCAGGAGATAAGCCAGGGCAGAGCAGTTCATGGGGGTGAGCATCCCGGCCAGGGTGCCGCTCCTCATGGCCTCCTCCACGGCCCTGGCGGTGTCCGTGTGCTGCAGCTCGTGCAGGCAGCGCATGGCGTTGACGGCGCGCGAGGAGACGGCGTGCTCGGCGCTCAGGCAGCCCTGCAGGACGCCGATGGCCTGGCTCCTGAACCCGCCGTGCTCGTCCTTCACCAGCAGCCACCCCGAGAGCAGCCTGTTCACCTGCGGGGACAGGAGCCCCGAGAGGAAGCGCATGAAGATGTCCAGCTGCCTGTCCTCGGCCTGCAGCGCCCTCTGAACGGCGCTCCTGAAGTGGTTGAGGAAGCCCAGCTTGGGCCAGGACACGCCGCTCTCCGTGAAGAGGTCGAAGATGGCCCGCTTGGCCGCCGTGTAGTAATAAAGAGCTGCCAGGAACTCCTGGATGGTTAAGTGGGAGAAGTAGTAGGCTGTGGAGGCCTGCATGTCCTCCTTGAGCAGGAGGCGGGTGCAGAGGCAGCTGTGCAGCAGGGAGAGGTCGATGCCGTAGGCCTTCATGTCCTGCTCGTAGAACACGTGCTTCCTCCGGAGCAGCCCGTAGAAGGCCAGCCTGCCCAGGCTGCCCACCAGCTTCTTGCTGGTGTTCACAGCCTGCTCAATCCTGAGGGCTTCTCTCGGCTTTTGCAGCCAGTCACCACTCAGAGCCATTTTAAAATAATAGGAGTAGATTTCTGACAGGGTCCTGGGGACCACGGTTTCTTCTTGGGATTGATCGCTGCTGTGTTTCAGGAAATAAGCGATTGAGGAGCCAGAAATCCAGCAAAACCCGGGAATGGTACACAGGACCTGGAGCGACCTGTTAGCACTGATGTGCTGCAGGACTTGGCTGGACAGATCTCTGTTGTCCAGGAACATCTGGTCCAAGAAGTCCTTCATCTCTGCAGCCCCAAACCCTCGGATTTCCGTCATGCGGTCCACCAGCCCGCTGGGGATCTGCCCGGCCGCCGCCGGCCGCGACGTGACCCACACAGAGGCCTCCTGCAGCAGGTTTCCCCTTATAATGTTGGTGATCAGGTTGTCCACTTGGATCTCCTTTTTGGGATCGGTGCAAACCACCGCGTTGGAAAAATCCAAGGGGGTCTTGAACTCATCCAGGCCGTCGAGGATGAGCAGGGTGCGGGCAGCCCCGGCCGCGGTGCAGCCGGGCTCGGTGATGTGGGGGCAGGCCGAGCAGAGGAGGCGCTCAGCAGAGAGCTTCTCGTAGGTGTTGAGCTCCCGGAAGGTGAGGGGCAGAACAAACGGGATGTCCCTGTTGATCTCCCCCTTTGCCCAGCTGCAGACAAACAGCTTCACCAGCGTGCTCTTGCCAATGCCGGCCACGCCGATGGTGACAGAGACCCGAGGGGGGATGCTGACTTTGGAGAGAGGCAGGAACAGCTTCTCCAGGGGGATGCTCTTGGATACGCTTGGCAGGCCTTTGGTGGTCTCAACCTGCAGGATGTCGTGCTCCTTCTGCTGGATGTCGGTCAGGCCTTCCACCAGCAGCAGGTTGGTGAGGCGCTGCAGGGCTCCTGTCTCCAGGCCATTCCCACAGGAGCTCTGGAGGCTCTCCAGGTGCTTCTGCACCATGGGTTCTGCACAGAGAAATTAAACAGGGCTGAGGAGGAAGAGGAGGAAGTATGAAGGCAAATGACAGAAGCTGCTTCACTTTTCTGCCATGCCCATGCAGAGGGAAATCTCATGGAGTCCCCACGTCCTGGTGGGAAGGATGGCAGGGCTCAGAGGGCACCAATAGGCCTAAAGGGCCCTGGTCAGCCTCACAGTCAGTTCAGGAGCCCATTTAAGCTCAGCCCTGGGCCTTCAGCCTCAGCTAAAGCTGTGTTGTAGGAGCTGTTGTATGTGCATTGCTCTGCCCTTGCCTGGTGGCCACCGGACTGTGTCTGAACCTGGTTTCCCTTGCTGGGCCTGATCCTGACCTCTCCATTGACTTCCCACCTTGACTTCATTCCTGCCTCATTGCCAAAGACTCTCTGATGAGCTGGACTCTTGGCTGAACCTGGTGGCCACCTCAGGACCTGTCCTGCTCACCTGGCTCAGGCATCACAGTGAAATTAAACCCCCAGTAAAGGCTGGACAGGCAGGGGATGATGGTGTGAGAGATTCAGGGCAGACACCAGCCAAGGCTGGAGCCTTCCAGCCAGGAGGGAAGCCAGGGAAAGCTCTCCTGGCAAGGGTTGCAGAGAGAGCCCAAACCTGGGGCAGCCACCAGCGCATGGGGTCAGGGTCAGATGTCCTTTTCCTGTTCCCAGCCTGGAGCTGGGACTGGCTGCTGTCATCTGGACATTGAGGCCATTAAAAACTCCTCAGCTGCCCAGAGAGGTGCGCAGAGAGCAGTGAGGGGGCTGCAGGAAGGTCCCTCAGACCTGGCAGAGAGCCCTTGTCACCCCTGGCTGTGTCCTTCCCCAGCAGAGTCCCTGAGATGGCACCATCATTGCACAGGTGCCAGCACCCCCAGCCCTGTGCACACCTCAGGGTGCTCCAGCAAGCACCAGGTCAAAAGTGCAGCCCCCCTGGCCTGCTGCCCACCATGGACAGCAGTGTGGATGGAGCTGGAGCTGCGAGCTGGAGGTCTCCACGAAGCTCTGCAGGGACTGGGAGGTGTGGCTGCCCTTGCCAGCCAGAACATCCAGCACAGCCCTCAGCTGCTCGGGCAGGGGGCTCGCTGCCTGCACCTGGGCAGCCTCCTGGGCCGTCAGCAGCTCCAGCCTGTGCAGGGGGAGGTGATGTCCTGCAGGAACTGCGGGGAGATGGCCTCACCAGCTGCCTGCCATACCGGCTCATCCACACCCCTGCGGGACAGGACAGAGGGACAGCTGGGTCCTGGGCCAGCCCTGGGAACGTGGGTGACAGGAAAGGCAGCAGTGCAGAATTGCCTCTGACTCTGAAGGGAGCAGGGGTGAGCTGGAGCCCCCCAGAGTGCCCTGCCCAAGCCCTCTTTGTGATGGTGCCATCCCAAAGCCCTAGGAGCAGCTGGGTCAGGGCAGCAGCTATGAAACTGGAGCCAAAGAGACTGAAGAACACAATCATGACATGGTGTTTTCTCCTGGGATCCAAACCCAGGCAGAGAAAAAAGTGTGAGCAAGATCATTTCCCTCCAGAGCCAGCCCTCCCCCCATGCCAGTGCAGCCCTGCCTTGGATCTGCTCACACCTTGGTGCCCCACCTCATCCCATTTCTGAGCCCAGAACTCCCCCAGGGTGGCAGATGTGCCCAAGCACCACTCACCTTCCATCAGAGGCCTCCCGTGACATGGGTGGTCCCTGGGTGAGGAGCGCTGTGGTGGCAGCAGTGTCCCATGGGCCACCCCGTGTCCCCTGGGCAGCTCACAGCCCCACCCGGGGCTCCTCAGCCCCTCTCCATGTCCCTGCTGGAGGAAGAGGAGAAGCATCAGGTGCAGTGTGGGAAGGAGCCTGCTCTGAGCTGCTGTGCTGGCTGTGGGTGAGCCAGGGGCTCCCTGCTGGCTGAGTCCCCTCCAGTGGCAGGGGCACAGCGGGGCCCTCCAGCCTGGCCCGGGTGCCACACGCTGGGTGCCTTCACCACTTACAGCACGACCTTCCTCAAGCACAGAGGTGCATGAAGTGCCCTGGCAGTGCCCCTGTGCCCTCTGACCTGGGGAGCACCCCAGTGTCACCACTGTCACCAGGGCTGGGAGCTGCTCGCACATTCTCCTCTGTCTTGTGAAGGAAGCTGTGGGGCAGCAGGCAGAGTGATGAAGGGCCTGCTTTGGTTTCAAACCCACCTTGGCCCCATCCAGAGCCTCTGTCAGGGCTTGCTGAGTGGGGCCAGCACCACATCCTGTTGCAGAGCTCTGAGGATGCTCTGAATCATCACCCAGAGAAGGAGCAGCTACCTGCTCCCTCCCCCTCAGCTGCTGCCAAACCACGCTGAGGGCTTGGTGTTTATTTTTAAGTGTATCTGCTCAGAGTCCTGTTGTTCTTCAAGCAGAGGCAGAGAGGGAAATATCTCCATGGTAGACGTGCACTGCACTGTGCTGTGGCCTCTCCACCAGCCCCAAAGTCATCTCCAGGCACTGGCCATGTCCAGGTGGGGACTCCTGAGCCCCAGGGGATGTCTGATCACAGGAGCAGTGCACACACAGTGAATCAAGGTCTGTGGCCTGGTATCTTTCCTCCCTTCCACGTGCCCTCCAGGGTGTTCTGGATCCATGTGAACATGGATCAGAGGCTCTGCAGTGGGGTCCCTCCCCACAGACTGCCTTGCCATTGTCAGTCCCACCCCTGAGGGGATGTGGGCACTGTGGGGCTCTGATGCAGCCCCACCCACAGGTAACACTCCTTTCCTTGGTCAAACCTCTTCTAGGGACAAAGCACAGATGCAGCTGGACCAGCAAAACCTGGCAGAGTTTCTGGTCCATGGTGCAAGGCCAAGGTGCCTGGAGCTTCTTCTGTTCCTCCTGCCCCCCAGGGGTCCATGCTGGGCTTGTTCCTCCCACCAGCAGCACAGGACTGCAGGAGGGACCTGACAGTGTCCCCAGGGCTGGGTCCCTCACAGACCTGGATCTCCCATAGAGACAAGTGGCGTGTCCCACAGAGCAGAGAAGTGACAGAAGGTGACAAGGCACCAGCCCAGCCACACCTGCCCCGGTGGTTCCTGACGAGCCCTTGCAGGGCTGGGAGGTGCTGTTGGAGCAGGGCCTGAGCCCACTGCCTTTCCCTTCAGGGTGCAATCCTGGGCTGAGCCCTGGTGCCAGTGGTGCCAGAGGTGCAGGAGCCCCGGGCAGTGGTGGTGATCCCACAGCAAAGCCCTTTTCTCCATGCTGGGAGCAGCAGCAGCTCTTACTCATCACCCCCCAGGCAGTGGCCTGGTCAATGAAGACATCATCAATTAAAGGAGCTCAGTGAGCAATTCACAGCAAAATGTTCACCCTTTGATGTGCTCTTGTCTCTAACTGGCCTGGAAAGTTCAATTAAGCCCTTGCAGTCCCCAGGTCTGTCTCTGGTCCTTGCTGCACAGGATGAAAGGGGTTTTTCTGCAGGGGTTCCCTCTGGAACGGGGCCCTTTGATGGGGAAACCTGCTCCAGCACCAGCCAGGCTTTGATGCTTCCTCTGGTGCTCCTTCAAAAACCAGCAGCTCGAGCAGGGGCATCTCACCGGGAGAATAAAGCAGCAGAAGGAATAATGCAGGGAGAGGCTGTGGTTTTTTTCTGGTCCCAGTAGCTTCAGGTGCAGCTCTAGGAGCACACGGGGCTGCTGGAGGCCGTGTCCTGAGTGCGGGAGGGAGTCACCAGCTCTCACAAGAGCTGTCTGAAGGGTGAGGGACAGCCAAAGCCGAGCTCCATAACCCCTGCAGACACCCAGGTGTGTCCAGGATGGGACCCAGCTCATTCCAGGGCTGCTGGCCGTGAGGTGTCCATCCTGCACATCCTGGGGGTGCAGCTTTGCCGGGCCAGGATCCAGCAGGGACAATGTCCCACTGGCAGCAGAGGAGCAGGGATGCAGGTTTGTGCCTGGCCTGCCCTGCCAGTGTCCCCAGGGAAACTGGGATAAGGGGCTGGAGGGTGAGAGGCTGCCCAGCCAAACCGGGGAATGGCACCTGCAAACCCCAGGGAGGGAAATGGGGATTTTCTTGGCAAGAATTTAGCATTAACACTTTTTTTTTTTTTTGCTTAGTGAAGTCCAAAGGTCCAGCCCAGGAGAAAATTGTTTCCTCTAAGGATGCTTAGAAAACACTGATGTGTTCTTGCAGCAGCTCCAATCCCACTATCCCTATGAACCACTATCCCCACATCCCACCTGAGTGTCCCTGCCCAAACCCATCAGTGCTGGGAGCCACAGGGACTGTGCTGGCAGGTCCCCACCAGGTGCACAGCTGCTGTGGTTTCACTGTGTCCAGCCTGTTCCAGGATCCCTGACACCAAGCCCAGAGGACACAGTCCTGGATGAGCTGCTCCTGCTCATCTCTGCCTCTAATTATGTACAGCATCTAATTATGTACGTGCAGTGTCACCCCTGGCAGTCCAACAGGACCAGAGCAGCGTTCAGGGAATCTGGGATGGAGGAACACTCCTGAGGTGGCCACAGCAGGAAGCTGTCTGCATTCAACAGGCATTTATTTACTGCCTCCAGACCTTCCTCCTGCCCCAGACAGATCCATCACGCCGTGCCTCAGGAACCTGCTGAGCACCTGGGGCAGCACCAGGACTGCATCGTGTTGGAAATCTGTCTTTGTCTCCCTGCAGAGCTCGTGGGCAGATTCAGCAGCAGCGTGGGGGGAGAGGGTGGTTGGCACCTTGAGTGGGACTTTTCAGCTCCCAGCAGAGCCCTGGGGACCCGACCTGCTGCCGGGCTGGGGGTGGGCTGAGGTTACACAGGCACCAAAGGGTTGGGCAAGAGCTCCTGGATGGCTGCAGGCACCCACAGATGGAAAACACGGGAAATGGACTGATCTACAGTATTTAGATAAGATTAAAAGCTTTTCACATGAGCTAAAAATGGCATGGTCCCGCAGCAGCTGCAGGAGGCGGGAGGTGCCCGCTCCATGCCCCAGGCACACCAAACCTCAGCCTGGCTCTCCCCGGCCGTGTGCCGGCACCGAGGGCTTTCGCCGTGCAGCCGATCCCCAGAGCTCTGCGAGCTGGGCTCCGGGCCCCGGGAGCGCCGAGCTCAGCCCCGGCCAGCGCCGCCCTCCCTGCCCGGGCACGGCCCCGCGCCGGGCTGGGCTGGACTGGGCCGGGCCGGGCTGGGCTGAGCCGGGCTGCCCTGGGCTGGGCTGGGCTGGGCTGGGCTGAGTCGGGCTGGGCTGGGTCGGGCTGGGCTGCGCTCCTCTCCTCTCGGCTCTGGGCTCCTTCCCCCGCTCACCTGCGGCGCTTTCAGGTGTTTCTCCTGCCACGTGTCCACCCTGAACTGACCCCACCTCGGAGGTCAGCGAGCTGGAAATGAAAACATTTCCTAGGGCAGCAGCTCCAGCTGTTCCCGCTGAGCTGAGGGAATCCCGGAGCCAGGAGGCAGGCTGCCACCTTTTGGCAGAATGGAAGAGACTTCACATCTTTAATTTCTGCTAGTTAAACGATGCAATAAAATACCTTCGGCATTATTACTCAGTTATGAGGCTTGCAGACTGGCAAGAAACTCAGTTGTCTAAGTTTACGTATTACTTAAATTTTTTGGTCTGGATTTAATGCCAGCAAAATTGATTGCCAAATCAAATATATTTTATGTAAAATTTAATCTCTTCCAGGTTTGAGTTTTGGTTTTTTGTTTCCTTGAGCCCCAACCCCTATAAGAGGGCCCAGACACAGAAGAGGTTAAATACAAGGTAAGGGGACATGAAGGGCCCCTGGGCCGGATGCCAGCAGTGCCAATCCCAAATCTCACTAGAAAAAAAGGAATAATCAGTCTAGGGGTGATTCCAAACAGCTACAAATGAAGCTAATTTTGGAGAGGAGGTTCCTTGCAGGGCACTGCTGCACCTCACAAGCTGCAGAACGAAGGCTGATGCATTTCCTCAGCTGGCCGTGCCCCGAGGGTGCTTTACCACAGCTGTGCAAACAGCTGATTGAAAAGCAGATGTTCCAGCAAACAGCTCCTGCCCTTCCCACCCAGGGACCTCAGGATATCAGCAGGAAAACTGGGCAGGAGCTGCTGCCAGCCCGTCCCTGTGCCCCCCACAGCCCCAGGGCTGCTGACAGATGTGGTACCCAGCCAGCCTTTCTGGGCTTGCAGAGCACCCCAAAGAGCAGCTGCAAGTTCTCCAGAAGGAAATTTTTGTGCAACATGAACATCCCGAGTGGGAGGTGTCCCCTGGATCCCAACCGTGCCTGTCTGGCTTTGGATAACTCTTCCATGTGGTGGCCAAACCCTGAGGGAGGGTGAGACCCCAGGGGTGACAGCGGCCAGCCTGTCCCCAGCAGTTCCATATTTATGGCTGCACAGTGCCCATAGGTGCCTAAATAACAGCAGGATTAAGTCTGATGCCCCGAGGCAGCCCAGGGTGCCCGGGCTCTGTGCCCACCTGGTGCAGGGCTGAGCTCCAGCCCCCTGGCCTGCTCCTGGGACACCCCATGGCCCTGCCCCACTCTTTGGTGCAGTTTTGCACCGTGCCACGGGTGAGTGTGTCACTAATCTCCTCCTTTTTTGTTGGTGGTACATCTTGGAGTTTATTTCTGATGGTTTGGAAGTTAATTAGCTCAGCAGATGGCATTAAGGGGGGGAAAGCTGCTGCACAAGGCTTTGGGCTGAGGCTGCCTTTGTGCCCTGGCAGGCAGAGCAGGCAAGGGGACAGGACTTGTGA